ATATAAAAGATTGCAGACATTCCATCTTGTTAGAAAATAACATTTATTTCTATTTCCATATCTGACAATGAAGGCAAATATTGCCTTGTGCTAATATGATTTTGTACATGGCAACATAATAACACAGCTCTTTGTAACCACACTCATTGTAATACTCGCTCGAAATAAAGTATGCATTCCACATCGCGGCGTTTTTATTATTGCAGTATCAACAAGCAGCTTCAGTCCACTTGTCAACCGTACATATCCGTATACATACATTACAAAAACTTTATTTTCAAAAACAATTTCACTATCATCATCATCATCATTATAATAGCCTTTAACTGTCCACTGCTGAACATAAGCCTCCCCCATAAGGAGGGTTTTGCCAGTAGTCGCTACGCTTGGCAGGCGGGTTGGCAATAGTAGTTAAGCTTTGAAGATGTTTTAAGATAAACACTGCTGCGCATCCCTCACCCTCCCTTAGTCGCCTCTTACGAGACCACTTAATAAACTTAAAGAAACTAATGCTATTAAAATTGTACCCTTTTTGTCATAAATCTTAGTAAGGTATTTAAATATCACTCTCCAATTATGTAAATGAGAATAAGGAATATGGACACTGTTTAAATGCATATGTTATTGTATGCATGAAATACTGGTTCAACACTTCATAATAGATAATGTACTTATGATCAAATACTAAAAAATATTTCTCTAATAAGGTTGCGGTGATTATCAGAGAAATAAATTATTAATAAAGTATTAGACAAATAAATTCGTGAATTATGTAAAATATTATGCAGTTATTAAACGGATAAAATTTATGAGAACGAGTATCGGAAATAAATATTACCTATACAATTGACTAATACATAAAGTATCGAGTCATTTGCGCCAAACAGGTTTAGCGGCGTAACGCGGTAGCAGACAGCGGGGCTCCGGTTAGTCATCGACAACTATCGATGCGAACTAATATTCAAACATCGATACGAGTGTGATCAATTTAATGTACTTGACTACATTGGTAAATTTATTACTACCAGAGAGAGACTTTGTACAAAAGTCATTTGCTTGGTTATTTCTATCCCATTCGTGTTTCACCCGTAAAGCAGTTGTGTTTACATGGCTGTGTTTCCGTTTAAAGGGCATATGGCAGGGAAGTTACAGGCTACAAAGGAATAACAAATTAGTCCTCAGGCATGGCAACGTATAGAGGGGTGTCATGGGCGACAGTATACTCTGTTAAGTCCATAAGACTCTTCATGTCTATAGATGACAGTTACCACTTTCTGTCAGGTGGGCCGTCAACTTGTTTGCCATTCTAAATTGTACAAAAAAAATCTAACCGCCTCCGCGATTTGTCTGAAGTTAGTACTAAATGTTCTTTGAGTTGTTATGAATCATATAAAACACCCCTAGAATTATAACCAAATATGCTTAATTATCTAGATTTATCTATATTTATTTCATATTTTCTAATATTGTATTTAATAACATCATCCTATATAGCAAAGCAATAACAATAATTTTGCAATATGAAAATTATTTTTTTGCAACATCGAAAAACAAGATTTGTTCCCCAGGTAAGTCATAAATAGTGGAAATTTATATTTTATATTTTTTTAGTATAACCATCACGTACATAAATACCTATATATTTATTAATTTGAGTACAATATTAGTGGATAGAAACTGAAATTATTTTAAAACATTAACATGGATTTACTGTTTGACTTTGTTGCAAACGCAATTTGTAACTAAAAGACTTTAAACCTATTGTCAGCAACTGAGTTTTAATGGTCTATTCTTTGATGATTAATTAGACCAACGTACTATTTCTATTAATAGTATCGCTCCATCAATCTTACTGACTCGATATTTCGCAACGAAACTCGATTATGACTCATAATATGTGGGGCTTCCCTAGCTTCCGTGTTACTCAGTGGTCGAAACTTGTTCCTGTATAAACTTTGGTAACCTCTTAATAAGTATAATGTTTATGATTCATCTAAATGAATTATATTTTTATCTGTTTATGTCTCGTACAATCATAGCTTGCAGAGTTAGCAAATATTTAGAATCTAGTAGCCTCTATTTGAATTAATATTACAACTCTTACTTACAAATATGTTTTACCTGTGACTTTAACTATGTAGCTAAAATATGTTTATTAATCGGGATAAAATGTAGCCTATGTCCTTTTCTATTCCACTTAGTAAGTACACCAAATGTTATGATGATCAGTTCATCCATTAAAGTGCCAAGAATTAACAAACAAAATTACTTTCATATTTGTAATAATAGTATTGATTGCGAATCCAAACTATGTATATAGACTTATAACCAAAGACATATTTTATACGTATTTCTCAGTTTGCCCAATGGTTGACTGGCAGAAAACACCGTTCGATGTTAAGTCCGCCAAATGCACATAGAATTTTACTGTGCATTAAAGTTTAAAATAAATAAATATATGGATTTATAACTGAATTCATAAGTCTATCAATTGTAAACTTCTTAATTCGTTTAGTCGATAAGGTGCCTAGAGATATTAAATATAGAATTTCTAGTAATAATAACACACAATAATAATAACCCTATATTGGATATAGAGAACACGAAACTAAATAGCTATTATCCATCGAATACCTCCACGCTTTCCAAAGGTTGGTTGATAGAAAATGCACATAGCTCTAAGTCTACATTTTATAGCACACTTTATTGGGCAATAAAGTTGACACTTACAGTGACAGAGTAAGAATGTAACGTGTCATTATTCCTCTTTAAATATATAATATACTCACGACTATAATCCCTAATGATGTACTCAGAGACATCTGTCGACTATTCCCATTGTTCTGAACCTGACAAAATCATCGAAGTATTGTAAGAAGTAATTAAGGGAATAAGTACAATACATAAGAAGAACGGTAGGAAAATTCTAATTAAACTTCTATACCAAGTCGTTTAGCCTACATATTAGACTAAACTCTCTTCCTATTGTAAAGTTTTGTGCCTAGTAATGACATGTCAATGGGTTTTTATGATAAGGTAAACCAAAGGAATCGTCAGTAATAGAGACTAGTGTCTATGTTTCTAGCAATATCAAGTCGAACTCTACATGGACCTGTAAACCATCGAGGTTATTTTTTGATGAGTTTGACACGATGGGCTAACTAACCTTCTTTCATCCTCACTTATCATTAGGTAGTACCCTGCTTGTGTGTACCGATATGGAATAGAATGGTTATTCCGTCTGCGCAGTAACCATTCCATTACCAACAATTAAAATAAAAGGTAAGCCAAAATTTGAACGAATGAATAAATAACAATAACAAATAATAATTGTTCAATTATTTATTACCATTGATCTACACAATGAAATGGAATACATACATACATAATGTAACGTAGTCGAAATATTATATTATACATCTAAAACTACATCAAAATTATATGGCTAACGACAGAATCTTAATTCTGCCCTTATATTGGCACATGGGACGTTATTTTTATCAAAACTTAACCTTTACACATTGTAACCATTAAACTAACACAGAAAATTAAGAGTATTCATCCAAAGTGTGACAACGTAAAAATTAATCCTATCAATTAAAAAAAAAATGGCAATTTCAATATTTCTACTTGCTTATTTAAGTATTCCACTCGCGAAATAAGATGCCAATTATACATATATTATCACTAAAAATTTGGATTTTGATAACAAAAAAGTATATAAAAACTTCACAATATATATGTGCATAATATTCCATAAGTAACATTTTAGTTCGTTGTCATAGTATTTTTTATAAAAACATATGAAGAAATAACCACAATAAGATCACAATATTGAAAAATTGTTTAATTACTTTTGAAAATTTACAGATGTCGCCACATTTCGGAATGAACTCTCTTAAACTGACGATTCATTTTATTGTATAAAGGTGCTTTGAGAGTTACGACGAATCGTGACCGTGATGTAGAAGAGAAAGTAAACAGTGCGATATGAGTGACCGAGTGATAGCGCGATATGAACGTAAAGGCGTGTCCATTACAACCATATTTTTGATAGAAATTATCAAAAAAGAAAAGACAATTAACGTGTTATTAATAACCAGGGCGACTGTTTGATTTAGTCTTTCGCTCTTATTTATAAAAACGTCAAACATCTCATTAACCTATCTTAGCTATTGAACTGTTTCATCTCTTTCTTTTAGTCTACATTCCCAACTTGAACGAAAGTGACGAAACAGTTCTATAGTTAAAATAGGTTTGTAGTAGGTTTTAGTTTTAATAAATAAGGGATTTTGCTTATAACGAATATTTGTTTTATTAAAAATTAATGCAATGGACACGGATTTCACACATTTATAATTTCAATTTCTTCCAAAACACATTGACGGTCGTAAAAACAGTAAATAAATAAATATTTTCTTATTTGTATTGCTTAATGTGTTACAATGTATTAAGTTTTATTAAATAAAATTATTAAAGCACGAATATATAAGCAATGTAACTAGTTGTCTTATATGACAGTTCATATATAACATTTATATATTGTGTATAAAGACAGTTATGTTAATTACCAAGAAACCTTGCCATTTATTTCGCAGAAACGTCGAAATATGGCAAAGCATTGTAGAAACTAATTGACGTCTTGCATTTATTTATTGTAACTTGAAACTCTTATACAAAAATATGTTATTAAAATTCAAGACTAATTATTAGGAATTATAGCAGTAATACTTACAGAAATTTGGAGATTTAATACGTTTTTGTTAGTAACAAAAGAAATTTTCAAAAATATCAGGCATTAGATAAATCTTTCATAAAACAATGTTTCAATTCATTCAGTACGAGTAATTAAGTTAATATCGTAGCGCATTTTTGTTATAATCAAAATGCGAACATAAAAATAAATTCTAGTGATTTGGAACAATAAATAAAATATGTATGCGAATACATCGAATTCTGTTGCAAAAAACAAGTTATTTTATTTCGTTGCGTTACAAAAAGTAACATCGATATTAACATAATTAATGTAGAAATAAGTCAAGCACGCATCTTTCAAACTCATAATACCACAATCTCCGCCTTACCCATAGCTCTAAAAATTAGGAACAACCCTGAAAATATACATTAATTTAAGCAATAAATGGAATGTGTCGTAAAATAATTATTAATAAATAAAAATTATTGAAAACATATTTGTTAATTTCTAAAAAAACATTCGTGTCTATAAACGCATTCGTTTTTTTTTAAGAACTGTATACGTTCTACGTGTCATAAGCTAATAGTAATAACAATATTTTTAAATATAATATAAATATTATTTTACATTAAAATATAGCTAAGCAGTTAAGCCGTTTAAATGCTACAATCACTATCCTAATAAATACTATTTACAAATCACCAGAATGTTTAGCTTTTATAATCACTATTTAATGGAATAAATAAACAAATATTTCTAAAATCTGCAAATATATTCATCAAATATTTAGCTATTATTCTTTTTTAAATATATCATAAACATATCTATCAATAAATATAAAAATTCTGGCAATTTAGACAAATACCATTTATTTTTAATTTGTTTAATTATTCCATATTTAAACATTTTTCATGACCATCATAACCACATACAAGAAGACTTACTATTCCAATTTCCAAAAAAAAAACATCCAATATCACAAAACATAGACAAAAACTTAATTTCAATTTTGATTTTAGAATTTAACTTTGCAACCTTATGAATTCAACATTCTAACAATAAAATCAAACATTGCAATATCCCATTCTGGCGGTGTTAATGATGAAGCACGAATACTGTTATGTAATTGTGTATAAAACATCCAATTGTTAAAATTGATGACTGACGTCACAATGATCTCGAAAATGGCGGATATTACCATCTTAAGTACATGGTCTCCTTTGTTGGATTGTAATGTATTTCTCTGTAACAAACAAAGTATAATTAGGGGGAAAATAAAAAGAAAAATGTTTTAACCGACATTAAAAAGGAATAAATTGTGAACCGATTTCGATGAATCTTTATCCAATCGAAAGGGTTTCCTCCCATGTTGGCCCAAACTGACTTTGTTAACGCTGATGTCGGTGTACTTTACTTTTCTTAAAAAAAAGTTAATAGAAAATTCTACATTAATGCTTGCAGGGTATTTATAATACAACACGATCATTGATCTTTTACTCTGTGCGGTCTCTGGGTACTAAAATGATTCTACACTACACTTTATAATACTAACACTAAGTACATTTATTTTTTCATATAGTGTACTATACTGTGTTTGCAATAAAGAAAATGAATTCTTACTCTATCATGTAAGAGAGACCGCTGTAGTAGGATCGTGCTTACTCCATCACCTTCACCGCCACAAGCATTGACTACATCTACAACAATTAAGAAAAACATTTTATTAGTATTTTTATTATTTCTACTTTCAAAATGGTACTTTTGTTACATTCAAACAAATGTATCTACACTTCCAATACTTTGATCTAGTCTGTATCTAGATAGAGTGTCTCCGTACAAATGTTTGTATAAAAACAGCCAAGCCTTTGTCAAAATGGCGTACTATTAAAATTGGGTAAGATTTCAGTCAAATAAATCATTATTGTTTATTTATTATTATTATCAATGTTATACTGTTACATTTTTGTGCGCTTCGACAATGAACTGAATATTTCAACATTCGATGTAAAAAATTATATGTTAGCCAATAATTGGCTGTTTTTTAAAAGGTTATAACATTCAGCACTCTATCTAGAAATATATTATTTAGGTATTTGTGTTATTTAAATATACCTTTTTGAAAGTATTCCAAGTGTTAAATAGTTCAATATAAATAGTAAAACCTCAACATTATACACAGTGGTTGGTGATTCTTTTTAGAAATTCCTCGACCTCGCATGCCGAAAAGATATAGTTATACAGTGCAAAAACAAAATTTTGAATGTGTAATTTTAATAAAGTTAGTGTATGGTTACCATTATTCTTAAATTACCGTTACCATAAACAATAGAAAACCTCAACAATGGTGAAAGATAACATTTAGAAAAAAGTCACTGTTATTTTTCTACGAAAAAGACGACACTCAGTCTGCCGGTGCTATTTTTAAAAACGATGGAAGTACATTTTTAATTTTTCAGAAAAGAACACAAAAATGTCCATTGATTTTTTTTTTTTTTGTTTTACAATAATAGAAGTTTACAACGCACTAAAAAGATTAAGGTCGGACACTACCAACCCTTTTTTTCTTGGAATTTACACAGTAACTAATTAATTACTTTATTCTTAGACACTATAAACATAAGTCAGTAAGAGTTGTTCAGAATTGTTTGCATTGGCATGTTTAATGCTTCCACTTTACTGTGAATGTATATTGGGAATATAAATACAAATATGAATTACCTGTATGTATTAATTGTAAAAAACAAAGTATTAACACTTTGTTTTTTTCATACAAATATTTCATCATAAATATTCCAGTCCAATATTAGGTATTATTAAATTAAATTTTCATAGTACCATGTATATTGTATATATTCGTCAATTTAATGTTTATTAAAAATGGTTTAAAAATGGTTATTCTATTATCAACTTTTATTACCTGAACAACTGAAAAGACTTCGCTAATAAATTGTTATTTTTGTATGTATTTTGCCATTTTTTTATGTAATTTTATCTCTCTCTTATCAACCTTACTTATACCGGTTATCGTCTACATCTTTTGTCTTTAAAATTTTATTTTATTTAGGCGCTAAAATGACTTTCACTTAATACGATTCGTGACGTTGATATTAAAAGTGACAATCGATATTTTTTGTCACATCACTAGAGACCAACTCTTTATTTTCATAGTGAACTCGAAGTGTCAAGATCTCGATGCGGGACAGCAGTGTAAAGGCCGTAGGTGACAGAATGGCATTTATTTCACTTCCGCGCGATACAACACTAGGTTAGTTCGTGAGCGCACACCCTGTATGTGCGAGTGTGGGAAAAGAGCACTTTTGTTTCTATATATAGGCTGATGTAGAATGTAAAGACATATTTTTTTTAAAGTAGTACCATTTATTATATAGAATTATAGGTAAATTATTATAATACTTCCTTTTATATAGTAAGCCAGAATAGGATAGTATTTTGTTTTTAACAAATTTTAAAGCAAATCGAGTGTCTGTGCATATCCTAAAAGTTTACTGTTAGAAAATTGCTAATTCATCCGCTTTTTGTATCACATTTTATTAGTGAATTAAATTTAAATAAGTAAATATTCAAAAACAGATATTTTAATTTATAGTACTAAAATATCTAGAAATCTAAAATATTACAATTAAAAAGCTTAAAAATGACATAACTATGCATCTATCAAAGTTTAACTGTAACAGATTACTTAATACTGCTATAAATATAAGAAATATTTATATATAATCTGTACCTACTCTTTCGTCCATATTTACTACCGAAAATTAAAAAAAATTCTAGTGTATTTTATTTTTTCAGCCTATTTATGTCGAAAGCGCTTTAATCTAAACAGCTGCCAAAGTGCCAACAAAACAAAACCGCCTGTTTTGCTCAATAGCGCGGATATCCACCTATATAATAGGAAGATTTCTCAAGGGGCGCCTAATTAACCGCGATCAGCACCTCGACGCGATCCGCGAACAATTGTGTGTAGTAACTGTGCAATCGCTGTCGACATACGCCTAAGAACCTTTAGACTTTACAGCAATTTACTTTAATCTTTAAATCTTAATGTAACATCGGAACGAAATCCTTGTTTTAACGACTTGAATAATTTGGGATGTTTCGTAGGTAAGTACATTTATTTTTTTTAGGTATAATTATAGGTACATTATTTGTTTCAAATTGTAGAGTAAAGAATACATTGCATTAAATTACTTTTTTCTTAAATACAACCAAAACCAAAAATATTGGTCAATCATAACCAAAAATGTTTCTTGCTCATCTTATCTTCTCGTCTCATTGTCACTCATCATATACTGAAATATTTTTCATATTTAAGCGTACAAACGAAACCTAACATTCAGTTTTATATCATTACTTGGAGGTTCAAAATAAAATTATTATTAATTTATATAACAATTTCAAATTCAATAACAACTATAACACAATTATAATGACCCTTGTCTCTTCACTAATTGGCATTTAATTATTTTATACAATTTGCAAAATATGTCACAACAATAAAACCAATGAATAGAAAATAATCGATACCGTGTCAACTCGATTCACACGTGGTGCGCGAATGGATCGACCTATCGATGTTCGGATAAACTCGATGCGCATGCACCGATAACCCACTACGCTAACTAAATAGGGCATCGAAAACTAGAATGCTATATTCTTAATTAAGGAAAATGGTAGCATTTTAGCTCTTTATGCAATTTCAAAAATTCCATTCTCAATTGGATTGTGTATTTTGTGTTTACATATTACGCGTAATCGTCATCAATTCTGAACCAAAATTTTACTATTTATTTTATTGCCACCGTAACTGAAATTGCTGTTTATTTATTTGGAACCAAATCAGGGTGTCTTTTTTCGGACACAACATCGTATTTTCGTTCATACTGAAATTAGTCCCGTAAAAGTCCAAAGTAACGCTATTTTTGATATTTTTAATATTTTTAAACGTTATCTGTTATGTAATTTTAACATCCAATTTGTGTTTCGTTCGGTTCCGAAATTTCGAGAAACATTTCATGGTAGGCTCGTCACCCATCAATGTTTTTAATCTTTTTTAAATCTGTTAAAATGTTAGATACTTCTAAGCATCGTAACAACCCAAGTGATCATTATTAAATTAGGTATATATATATATAGTTTTTGGGACGAAGAAAGATACAGGCTTTTCACCCCAGAGCTCGGTCATGCAACATACTAGCAGGTACATAATAGAATTGTTTATAAGTATAAATGGATATGTTTATGTACGTATTATGAGTTCCGTATGCGTGTCAGAGGTCTTTCATTACAGTGGTATCAAACAACCGTATATTTAGTAAAGAGATCGGTAGCGGACCCCTCCGCCGTTGGCGTTCACGTTGCGAACAAGGGGTCAACGTTTCGCACGCAATATTTTGTATGAAAATAGTTATCTACTTATCGGCAGAAAATCGTATGAATGAATGAATGAAACCTCTTTATTGTTTTCTTCAAAGAATGATACAGATTATAAAGATTAACAATATGTACACAAACAAAATTAAAAATTAATTACATAAACTTATTTACGATTAATAGTAATGTCATATTTTAAACCAACCGTTAAATCTTAGGGAAGAAATGCTTTAGGGTCGTCACTAATGTATTATCAAACGCAGTGTGAAATATTCCTCCACGCAATAACGTCAATGGATACTAGGAGGAGAAGGAATTATTAGTATTGGGGATTAGTATTATTAATATTGTTTTACAGAATATAAAGTTTCTAATATTACATACATACAAATTATTATAAACTCCTTTCATAACCTAATATCTTATACGAGTATATAGTTGTTACTCTACTATGATTGATCGTTTTATACTTACATACTTACATTCGACTAAAACTAATATAACTGTACAACGTAAGTGATCCTACCTTTACAATTTCTTTATCGACACATACCGACACGATAATAAAGGATTATTGCGAGGATTTATGACACAGGAAACGTTTATAGACTCCTAGGTAACCTTTGCGAAAATATGAGGGTAGAGTAACCGCTGAGTTGTAAACCAAAATAGGGTGGCCATCACCTACATGGTCCTACTGACAAATTGCCGTAATTCCTTGGCACGGTAAAGCGTAGTGCACATTGTTGTTCCTTGTACGGCCGGTGCATAAACTGCAAATTATACCGCACCAGTCACGTGTGCCAGACTCTTGCGGGCTACCGTCCGCGTTCGCACAGTTTCGGAAGCATTAGGGCCCATTAAGCACCGTTAACACACGAGCTCGTCACGAGCTCACGACTCGCATGCACCGTGAGCGATCTATCGACGATCTCGCGGTAGCAGGATGGGGATCGCGTATTCCACGGAGATTCACACGGAACTGTTGTATCCGTGTGTACACGGGTTAAACACAGCCGACGTTTCAACCGACTTCGAAAAAGGAGGAAGTTCTCAATTCGATTGTATTTTTTTTAGTTGTTCACTTATAACTCCGTCATTAATAGACACATTTGGAAAAAAAATTAATATTTCAAAAGATATACTTTTAGAATGGACTCATAGAAGTTTTATCAAAATCGATTCAGCAATTTAGTTTGTAATAAAAGTAACTGGTTTTGCCACGATTGACGTCGGGATTTTTTTGCGGTGTTCCACAAAAAAATGTGATAATTATACATGAAGCGTGATAAGTATGATGATACTTAAGTATAAATAACGTTAGATTGAACTTTGATAAAATATTTCAACATCTACAAATACGATTATGTCCCAACTGCGGTTTCTCAGGCGCGTGTCACCTACATCTATCTTGTTTTGTGTCACTTTCATAAACGTGTTACCGCGTCGCCCCGGATGATATTTGCATTGGTTAGGGTCGCGACCCCGGCGGTAAGCCGCTACCACCACATTGTATGTTAATTGCAGATGACAACCGCCGCTGGAATGCCGTCGACAATCTTGACTGACACGCGGACGTGTGAACGCGCCTTCATGATTTAAGAAGTTTAATGAACTCATAATTATATCTAATATATTGACAGTTATATTATGATTATGAGACGGATCTTTTTTAAACAGCAGTAATAATTAATCTTCGGTGTTTGTTTACACGCTCTATTATCTGATTTAAAGTGTTTTATGATACGATAAGAGAGTACAAATATGTCCCGGTTTTAATTGCTAGTGTCATTGTGATGTTTACGGCTCATTCTCTCAATGCCATGAGGATTTTGTGTTCACATTACATCGTTGTGGAATGTTCTGGTAGATATTATATTTACAGGTTTAGAATGTGTAATAAATTAATATAAATACGTTTTTATTTTGTAATGATTTAAAACTTTAAATTTAAATATCGAACGTCTGCTTCTTTTTCTTGTTCTAAATTTGAAAAATAAATGTTCTGAAAATAAGAACCTATAATGAAATTACAGACGTGTTAGTTGGTTACACGTATCTATTACGGTAGTAATAGATAATAGTGTCTGTTGTATGACATGTGACTGCTCCCGTGATCGACTAGACCCTAATTCCGACCGAGCTGGTTTGCCACAGCCTTGTCTCACCTGACTAGCGTGACCACGAACTATGTAGGTCGAAAGGTTCCGCATATTTAACATCATAATTTGTTCAGGTTAAATAGGTTCATATTTAATATCTCTAATATTTAGAAAAAATGTCCAGTTTATTAAATTAAATCAATTTAACCGACCATTATTTCAAGTTTATTATATTACATAGATTATATCTAATTTGATTAATGATTTTTTTTCTTTTTTCGAATATTCAGCGTATAAAATATTAAGCATTTTAATCTAAATTTATTACCTATATCAATTTCACCGTTTAATTCAAATGAAATCTCCTTTTGATCTAAGCTAGTTTATTATGTTATTTATTAAGCCTACTTTGAAAAGGTTTTCAAAAAAGGAACATCACCGATTAATTAAAAACAGCACCACGTTAGAATAAATTGAGAATAATTTGAACATCGAACTAACCTGTGTTGGTTGAAAAAGGTTTCAAATAAAGAACACAACTAATAATTAAAAACAGAACACCACTTTAAAATAAATGAAGAAAAATTTGAAAATGGAACTGACCTGTGTTGGCGCAAGTTATCCTGCCTCTTGAAGCTTTTCCCACACACCTCGCAACTGAACGACAGTTCCGGGCTCTTGTGGGTGCGCTCGTGGATCATCAGGTTGTAGGATTTCGTGAATCGACGCTGGCAGTATTTGCAGACGAACTCGCATTTTGGGCGCAGCTTACGCCTGAAATCCCTGGTGTGGTCTTCGTCGATCTGCATCACAGCGAACATTTTGTCTGGTCTATGATGTGAAGCGTGCGACGGGCGGGGCTTGAACGTCTGTATCAGAGTGATAGCTTATCAGATAACTGCATGCGTTCAAAATTCGACTCTAGTATACAACGCGCAGGGTCTGTATTACATTATTATTGAAATTCGGGGCAGGATTCAAACATGCGTAGGTATTATTAGGGTGTAGTCATAATATTGCAATGACTACACTCTACGTGTAAGTACCTACGCACATAAATTTTTATAATTGATAAAATATCTATAAAATGTTCCACGGCAAAATAATTTTGAACGTCAACTTCACGTTGAAACCGACAGTGGCACGCTAAAAATGATAATGTTTTTGTTAGTAAAAAATATGAACACGTTAATGAAAAATATGAATACAATGAACTTATTAAATATCTATAGTTAATGATATCTAAAGTTAAGTGATTATATTGTACATTAATAATAAAACATGCTAGAAGCAAGGACAACCATACCATACTTGACCTAAGAGTCAAAGTAACTTTACATCTCATATAAGTGCTTATTAACCATAAATGTACATTGAAAATAAATATCAGCAGATTATTAATGTCATTATTTACTTAACAAGTTTATTCAGTAAATGTTGAAGTATAAATTATTAAAATAATTTATTGATATTTATTTAAAATTATTAGATACGCACCTTCGACGAAGCAATTACAATTTACGATATAATATTGCTCAACGGATGTACCTTTTAACACTTTCACTATAGTTTTTAACTCAATAAATATTAAAAGTAAATATATTTCTAAACGGCCAGCGTCGGATTTGATAATACAACATTTAAATATTTATATTTGAAACGACAACGATTAACGCGGAGTTAAAGAAGCTAGATGTGTCAACGATCGACGTGTGACCAACAACGGGTGCGTTTAGCAACTAACTGCGCTGGCGAGAGGGTGCGGAAACTACTGATAACGTTATACGGAAGGCCCGAGCCCCCACTACGTGCGAACGAGTGAATGAACAGGTAGCGCCACAGTAAGCTGATGGCTGTAAAGGAAAATGATGCACTAACTCAGTAGGTGTTTTATATGATGTTTATGAATCAATTAATATTTTTTTATGAATATGTTATGAACAAAGTGCAAACATGTCAGTACTCATGTAGTACATATGCTTGCGACTTAACTTCTGTAAAAACAGAAATATTATCTTTAACAAAACTTTGTACATTTATATACATATATTTGCTATTAGTTTTAATTAAAGTTTCATTGATTCTATGATATTTAGGAAGCTCTACTCATGTGTACAAATATTAGTAAGATATTTACTATGAAATGTTGTTTTATTAGTATTCTAAGATAATTAAAATCTGTACTCTAATTCCAATAACATAAATGTAAAGTAGTATATTTTTAGTCAGAAATAATTATGGAAATTTTTAATCTTTTTTATCATAAATAATTATTTTATTTATTATGATTAGGTACTCTGAAAGACATTAATGCACTCACAACCTACCACGTTGTCGCAATAAATTGTATGTTTTCTGCAACGTTCACCGACTCAGAAACTTCAATCATTTATAGACAAATAATTTAAGTATAAAAAAGTTATTTTTCAATATATTTATTTATTTTAAATGTCACTAAAAATATACCAATTACATTATAGTATCAGCAGTTCTGTCGGTGGGAACTCAGCCGGTGGCTTGCGGCGCTACCGTGGTTTTCACTCACGAAACACTCGTCCCCCACTTATTTGGGTACCGGTACAGTCTGTAATTGATGATTATTTTCGGCTTCTGTCATTACTGTGACCTCGGGGCAAGTACACAATGTAGGTAATTTCTAGCAAAAGTACTTCAGTTTAATTAAAAATTAAAAATAAGCCATTTTTTTTTTTCATAAATATGGAATCATCTTAGAAGAACAACATTTTAGAAGTAACTATTTTTTTTTTATTTCTTAAACAGTTCATACTTATATGTACTTAAAAACATACATAAATTTTTAAACAGGTATACTTACTAATTTTTTTTTTGTAAATTAGTCATTCTATATAGGTATATTAACTAAAAATCAAAAAGATTAACCCATACATATATTAAGTGTTAAAAATAATTTAACAAATTTCCATAAAATTTACAATTTCTCAATCAGTATATAAAATTCAAATACACGTAAGTTTCAAAAATTATTCAAATTTTGATTGCTAAAGAAGGCATAAACTTTATTTCTTGAAACAACCGTAAAGCGGTACTTATGACACGTTTTATAGCCGCGTAACTCCATTCAAATTATCTCGATGCCCGTCAAGGGTGCAATGTTGGAAACAAAAACGTATAATGAGTTAGGTTCTTATGCGTATTTACACCTTATGACAGATCATATATAATTAGTTGAACAATTTACTTAAATTTGTCTTTTTGCTAAAAGTGCTCACGCTGTAATTCCTAATAGGATTGTCATATGCCAGTATATAAATATATGAATTAATTAAAAACTTCCCCCTATTTAATAACCTTCGATTAATAACCCAAAAATTATTACATCATCGTCGATCTATAATAAATATTAAAAAAAAGTATAACTAATTTTGTTAGCTTAATTATTCTGAAATATGATTTCATTGATTTGGAGCCATCGTACACGAAAATTACAGACGAACTTTAATAATTTGCGTATCTATCCACATTTTTATTCCCAAACTTTAAGGAACAGGCACAGAAACGTTACGTACTTTGCTTACATATTTTATTCCCAAATATAAAATATCCATATTAATAAATACGTAGACGGAGAATGAAAAATAGAAATAAACCGAAAGTGTATTTTAAGATTCTAATATAAATATACACAAAAAATACAGATGATTAAGAACCTCCCCCTTTACTAGTCATAAAACAAATACAAACTACGACTGTACTCAACAATCTTGAAACTTTTAGTCTTTACATGATATAATATTTGTTAATATATAGTCCTTCAAATCATGCCAAAAATTTAGTCTCTACGGTTTATCATAAAATTATATTAACATCACGACAGACGGGACACGCACCCGAAGTCGCAAAATGTGATCTTGACATTACCATATTAGTCCAAATCTCCGCTTTATATACAAAGAATGCGAGTTAAATCCCAATGATAAGCTGTTTACTACTTTTATGAGACCTCTTTAAAAAACGAATTCCGACATCAAAGGTAGCGTAGCTGACTATCTAAAATAAGAGACAGTGAGAAATGTAATAACATGCGCTAGAAGATTACTCCAATTGACTTATCCTCGTCTTTGCCTATTTGGAACTGAACAACCAATTTTATAGAAATTCAGTATATCCAGCCAGTCAGTGTAAATTTCTTTTTAATAATCGCCAATGCTATCGTTCTAACTTCTGACTTTATCATTCTAATCCTAAAACCTCTAAAGCTATAAACTGTATGTTACTTTGCCATAAAATTAACTAGTCATAAATGTAAATTATATTAACAATAAAGTCCTTTGTAGGTAGCGTGGTTGTCGATCTATTCAAGGCAATACACAGTATGATATTTATTTATCAAGCGTTCTCATAACTGATTAAAGGGAATAATTTTATACAGTTTTATCATATTTATATAGTATTTATAATAATCCAGAAAACATTTAATCTAAACCACAATAGCTTTCACATAAGCTTCACTAAATATATAGATATAGTTTTTTGCATTATTAAAAGTGAATATGAAAAAGAATTGTATAATAAAATAAACTGTGTGCAAATAACAAAAAGTCTAATCAAAACATCATTGTGAGTATCTTTGATGATCAATCGTTATCAAATTTATTATAGTTACATTTCTAACTCAATATGACCTCAGAATGTTATAAATGTAAGCAACAACAGTATATAAACAAAGGGGACGAGACATATATAGTAATATCTGTATTTTTTATTTACAATAATGAATATGTTAAAAGTCTTTTATCCAAGAAATAATATTGGATAACAAACTTAATATATTCGAAAATAAATATCCGACCGATATAGACGATATCGAAATAGAAAAAAACCTTTTTTACGCCATCAATGTCTAAAGGAACCCAATATATGTATATCAGATCGGTATTCATATTACCCATGCCTAAACACAGCAGTAATACTAACAATAAATAAATAAAAAATTTACGTGTTCATATTCACATTATCAGATTTTATGTCACTACAATAATCAATCCGAAAAACAATTACAAACAGAAACACTCGTATTTCTATGTAATTCGGACACATCACATATAACAAAACAACTTTACCTAATTACATTAACGCAACGTAGTATCCATTTTTGAGAACAATCATTCATAATAATTTCTTAAAAACAGACTCTTTGATGCCCGAAAAATTTTTCATTAAAAATATGCGCAAAGACGTTGCAGAAGTTACTAATAAACTAAAAAGTTTTTGTATTATTTATCACTTATATAGTTTATTTAAATTAGTGCTCACGGATCTTTGTGTGAGTCATTGGACCACAGTTTCGTATCTTGAAGACATTCTTCAAAATTGATACCTACTTACCTATTCTAAGATGAGTCAGAACAACAATTCACTCCCTTGAACTATTGACACGTATGACATTTTCAGGTAACATGGTACCAATTTACTGACGTGCTGGAAAAAAACCCAGGTCACAGTAATTACTTGAATTTTAATATGTCACGATGATTGTGACGTGAAATGACGTACGCGTACATTCAAAGAAAAATATGGACTTTAATACTTAAATTAGTGTCATCACAGTATAATGAGTGTACTTGACAAGAATTTGCAATTAACGTTACAATTTCATAATAAGATATACAAGAAGATGTTAATTACTTTTTTATTGATTTTATTAGCTGTTTAACTTTAAAATACCAAAAGCAATGAAAATAAAAAAGTTGGGGTTCTAAAATAAAAATACAGGATTTTTTCATTCAAGTAAAACTTTACAAGTAACCATATTTATTAGAAAAAATAACATAATATCTCCAGCAGAAGTAAATGGCAAGTAGTTAATACTCATCAATTATATTATTCT